TAGTCAAAATTATAGGTAGAATGGTGGTGGGGGTGGGAGGAATAGGTGGTTACTGTAAGTGTAGTACTTCAGTTTATCAAGACGAAAAGAGCTGTGAGCATGGTTGGTGGTGATGGCTGTACCACAGTGTGGGTGTACTTATTACCACTGAACTGTACACTTTAAAATGGCTAAGATGGTAGATTTTATGTTATGTCTGTTTTCACACAACTTTAAAAGATAATTGGATAGTTTGAGGGGCGCCTGGGTGGCTCTCGGTTAAGCATCTGCCTTCCGCTCAGGTCATGATCCCAGGGTCTTGGGGTCAAGTCCCGCGTCAGGCTCCTTGCTCGGCGGGGAGTCTGCTTCTCCCTCTCCCTCTCCTCCTGCTCCTCTCTTTCTCTCTCACTCACTATGAAATAAAATCTTTTTTTTAAAAGATAATTGGATAATTTGAACAGCTATTTTTGTAAATTTTTTAACTTTAGGTATCACACACAGACAGATTTTAAGTGTAAACTACCATCCATTTTTACAAATGTATACACCCATACAACCCACATCCTTATCAACATATAGAACATTTCCATTGTTTCAGGTTTAGAATCTGGCCACCTCGAAGGCAAGCAGTGATGTGGTTTCTGTCACCAGATTTGTTCTGCCTATTGCCTCTTGCAGAACTGCACATATATGTAGTCTTCTGTGTCTGGCTTCTTTCACTTAGAATGTTTTTACAACTTATCCATGTTGTTGATTTGTTGATTTTTATTCTGGACTAATGTTCCTTTGTATAAATTAACCACAGTTTATCCATTTCCCTGAACTTCTGTTTGGAGAGTTAAATAAAATGAACAAATTCCTTAAAAAAGCACAACTTAAAAAACAGTGCGAGAAGAGATAAAAAGTCTTGACTATCTACCAGTGAAATTGAATGTATAATTAACAGTTTCTGACAAAAGCTCCAGGCTCAAATATCTTCATTGATAATTCTTCTGTATACTTAAAGAAGAAATAATGTCTGTACTACCAATATCATATAAACTCTTTCATTTCATACTTCTAGTATAACCTTCATCTGAAACCTAACAACACTGTTAAGAGAAAGAAGAAATATAGGCAAACATCTCCCATGAACATAGACACAAAAATCCTCATTAAAATATTAGCAAATCAGGGTGGCTCAATCGTTAAGTGTCTGCCTTTGGCTCAGGTCATGATCCCAGCGTCCTGGGACCGAGCCCCACATTGGGCTCTCTGCTCTGCGGGAAGCCTGCTTCTCCCTCCCCCACTCCCCCTGCTTGTGTTCCCTCTCTCGCTGTGTCTCTCTCTGTCAAATAAAATCTTTAAAAAAAATATATTAACAGATCAGCTCTAGAAATATGTAAGAAGGTTGATACCTCATGACCATGTGGGGTTTACTCCAGGAATGAAAGATTGATTGGTTTAACATTCACAATCAATGTAACTTACTACGTTAACAGAATAAAGGCCAAAAAAATCATATATCATCTCGATAGGGGTAATAGAAAATAGAAAAGGCATTTGATAAAATTCAGCAGTATTTATAGGGGCACCCTTGATCTCAGGATTGAACTTTTTTTTGTTTTTTTTGGATTTTATCTATCTGTTAGAGCAAGCATGTGAGCAGGGGGAAGGGCAGAAGGAGCGGGACAAGCAGACTCCCTGCTGAGCACGGAGCCCAACATGGGGCTCAAACCCACCCATAAATAGCACTGACTGTAAAGGAAATGAACTGATAAAATTTAAAATTTCATCGAAAGATGATAATATGAAGTTAAAAAACTAAGCCATACGCTGGGGAGAAGGTATTTACAATGTTTATCTGACAAAGAATTTCTTTATAAATACAGAATCTACAAATAAATAAGAAAGTCCAATTTTTAAAATAGTTCAAAGAATAAGCACATCAAAAAGAATATAAACGTATTCAAAAAGAGGGGGGCCCGGGTGGCTGTTAATGACTTCAGCTCAGGTCATGATATCAGGATCCTGGGATCAAGCCCCACGTCTGGCTCTGCGCTCAGCGGGGATCCTGCTTTTCCCTCTACCACTCATGCTCCCTCTCTCTTTCTCAAATAAATACAATCATTTTTTTAAAAAAAGTCAATAAACATAAAATACGGGCTTGATATCTTTAGCCATCCAAGAGAAATATTAAACTGTGTTCGAAAACTACATACTCCCCCAAAATGGCTACAATCAAAGAATGACAATTCAAAGTGTTGCCAAGCATGTAGTATGATGACATGAAGGCTTTTAGATGCTGGTGGAAATGTAAATTGGTGTATAACCACTTTAAAAAAAAAATGTTTGCCAGTACCTGTCAAAGCTAAACATACCCAGTAACTCTGCAACCACACTCCTAAGTATGTCAGAAGACATACAGAAGTGAGTGTTCATGTTCAAAAGGCATGTGCAAGAATATCCACAGAAATTTTTTTAATAACAGCTAAAAAACTACAAGCAATCCACATACTTAACAGGTATCTAAATTGTGCTGTATTCGTACAGTGGGGTGCTACATAGCAGAGTAAGGACACATCACAGCTACAGGATAACACTGAGTGGAAGAACCAAGCATGTGACTGTGCCTCCTACAGGGTATTATTCTGTATGATTCCATTTATATGAAGTTCCAAAGAGGCAAAACTAACCTGTGGTGATAGAGATTAGCATCATGGCACATCCTTTGTGGAGAAGGTACTAACTGGGAGAGAAAGGTTTCTGGGAGGTTACACAGGTATAAAGATGCATAAAATTCAACAAGCTAACTATATATCTGGGATTTGTGTATTCTCCATATGAGCCCCCCAGGGGCACCTGGAAAGCTCATTTGGTTGTATCCGAGTCTTGATTTTGGCTCAGGTCGTGATCTCACGTTGTAGGATCGAGCCCTGTATCAGGCCCTGCGCTGGGCATGGAGTCCGCTTAAGATTCTCTATCCCGGGGCGCCTGGGTGGCTCAGTTGTTGAGGCGGTCTGCCTTCGGCTCAGGTCATGATCCCAGGATCCTGGGGTCTAGCCCGGCATCGGGCTCCCTGCTCAGTGGGAGGCCTGCTTCTCCCTCTCCCACCCCACCCCCCGCTTGTGTTCCTGCTCTGTCTCTGTCAAATAAATAATAAAATCTTAAAAAAAAAAAATTCTCTATCCCTCCCCTCCCCTCCTCTTCTCTTCCTTCCTCCTCTCACCCTCTCCCTCTCTCCTCCCCTCTCTAAAAATAAATAAGAATCCCCCCCAATTTTTTTAAGTTAGTTTATTTTATTTAGTAATCTGTACACCCAACATGGGACTTGAACTTAGCAACCTCGAGATCAAGTGTCACATGCTTTTCCGACTAAGCCAGCCAGGCATCCCACAGATCCCCCCAAAGTTTTAAAACAGTTACAGTATATAATCAGATTTTAAATGTTAGGCTGTAGACCAAGGGTCCTTAAACTTCTGAGGTGTGCCAATAAAAATTTACAAAGTCATGGTGGGAGTTTGCTATAGTTTGCCGACCACTAGCATAGACTAAAACTGATTTCTGAATTTGTGGGGGAATAAAACCTGAGTATATTAGAGAAATTTACATTTGATAAGGATAGGATCCAAGCTAAACCTTGATGTGTCTGACATTGGCAGGGAGACAGGAATGAAACGAGAGAAGAAAAGCTGTGGCATCAAACAGCCTGGATTTGAATCCCCTGGTTTTGAATGCAGCTTACTTGCTATGTGACTGTGAACAAGCGGTCTAAGCCACAAACACTTCCTGTATAAACTAGGGGTCCAAATACCGTCTCACCGGGTGGTTCTGAGGGGTAATGAACTAACCTGTTACCAGTATGACATGGCGGTTAAGATTTTGAAGCCTGACTGCCTTGATTTGATACTCAGTTCGATTCCCTCAGTTACTAGCTGTGTGACTTTGGTAAGTTACTCAATCTCTCTGCGTCTCAGCTTCCTCATTTAGAAAATGGGGCTGTAATGCTACCTAATAATAGTGCCTTTGGGGGCACCTGGGTGGTTCCGCCAGTTAAGCCTCTAACTCTTGATCTCAGCTCAGGTCTTGATTGCAGGATCATGAATTCAAGCCCCACATTGGGATCCACGCTGGGTGTGGAGCCTACTTAAAAAAAAGTGCCTTTTTTATGCTCTTGTTGGGAGGATTAAATAAGTTAGTACAACAAAATGTTATAATTAATGTAACAGTTACTCAATAAATGATAGCTGTAGTTATTACATAAAGCATCTAGAATAGTACAAATAAATTATTAAGTAGTTACATAAAATAGAACCAAAGATTTAGGGGCGCCTGGGTGGCTCATTCGTTAAGCGTCTGCCTTTGGCTCAGGTCGTGGTCCCGGGGTCCTGGGATCGAGCCCCGCATCGGGCTCCCTGCTCCGCGGGAAGCCTGCTTCTCCCTCTCCCACTCCCCCTGCTTGTGTTCCCTCTCACGCTGTGTCTGTGTCTGTCAAATAAATAAAATCTTTAAAAAAAAAAAAAAAAAGAACCAAAGAGAGAGATTCATATAATAAGGAGACTCATGCCATGTTTTAGAGGGACTTTGAATACCAAGCAAGAAAAGTTAAGACCTATTCCAACTGACCACATAGAGCGTGTTTTCCAGAAAGCTGATTGAGGACTATTAGTCTGGCAGTGTTCCACAAGCTGGACAGAATAGAAGAGAGATACTAAAACTGAAGAGATTGGCCAGGAAACCCCGAGTAATTGGACACAGAAACAAAGGCAAATTTGAAATCATACCATTTCAGGCAAGGTATTAAGAATCTCTGCCTTCAGGGCACCTGGGTGGCGTCTGCCTTCGGCTCAGGTCATGATCCTGGTGTCCTGGGATCGAGCCCCGCATTGGGCTCCCTGCTCAGCGGGGAGTCTGCTTCTCCCTTTCCCTCTTTCCCTCCTCCTTGCTCATACGCACCCTCTCTCTCTCTCTCTCTCAAATAAATAAAATCTTTAAAAAAAAAAAAAAAGAATCTCTGCCTTTAACCCTGCCCTTCTCTATAGGTCTGTCAACGGAGTCTACCGGATTGGACTGTATGCTCTAAAAGACATGCCAGCTGGTACTGAGCTCACTTACGATTACAACTTCCATTCCTTTAATGTGGAAAAACAGGTAGGCATAATCAGTTCAAGAGGGAGGTGGGACTTTGTCACAGCGCCATACACACCACAGGCCTTCTGCAAATGTTCTGGTCTGCAGCCGTTGAGAAGCGCATTGGAGAAGGCGGTTTTCCCCCCGCTTGCCTAGGGTGCCAGCTCTGCTTCGTAGTCTCAGAACTCTGTAGAAGGAGGCTGCTTGGTTGTGTTTGCTCTTCATTCAGTTCTTAACTTGCCTAGGGAGGAAGTTTTCCCAAAATGTAATCTTTCCTTTCCATGGAAACATATTTATTTTACTCTCAATTATTTTCCTCTGTAAAAATTTCTTGACTCAAACTTACTGTTGGGTGTTCAGAAGCTCAGGCATTCTGTTTGAACTTGTAAGTGAGATTGCAGGCCAAAAGCAAGATTGTCTTTCCTTTCAAAGCAACTGTGTAAGTGTGGCTTTGAGAAATGTCGAGGAATCATCGGGGGCAAGAGTCAGCGCGTGAATGGACTCACCAGCAGCAAAAGCAGCCAGCCTGTGGCTACACATAAAAAGTCTGGACGGTCAAAAGAGAAGAGAAAGTCTAAGCACAAGCTGAAGAAAAGGGTGAATAATGATCTCATTCCTGGCTTTCCCTGCACAGCTGCCTAGGGGCAGTTACAGAGAGAAGGGTGACACCAGGGGGTGGTCCCAATGTTCTTCAAGGGGGTTTCTGATTGGCCCTTTCTTTCCTGCAATCCAATCCATGTGTCTTTCAGAGAGGCCACCTCTCCGAAGAACCCAGTGAAAACATCAACACTCCAACAAGATTGACCCCCCAAATACAAATGAAGCCGATGTCTAATCGAGAGAGGTAAAAAGGAGGTTTTCTTGCCTTTGTGTGATTTGCTTGTCACTTTAGAAATTACTAAACATCTGTATGGTTGAGTCATTTCTTTTGTGCAGGAGGTCTTTAGCCAAGAATCAGGGGATAGATAAATTTGGATTTGGGGGGGAATACATCTTTATTTTCCCCAATTCCTAACTGAAATTTAGCATTTCCTTCAAATGTGATAATAGGCAAAATGTGTGTGCACGCGCATGTGTGTGTAGTATTTGCAGTTTCCATGACTTTTTCACCGATGTTCACGTTTTCATATCCTGTTACAGTGTTATAAATAGCTCAAAATGCCATTTACGTGATTTCTACTTTGAAATTACTGTGGTTGTTAAACCCCCACTAGCCACTAGATCTTGTCATGTGTTAAAAAATTAATGTTTATTTCTATATCGCAATTTCAGGGTTTTTTAATATTCTGAAAACTGAATTTCAGGATATTTGGTTTCCTTTTAACCCTGTATATTAAAAATTAAAATTTTTAATTAATCTAAAATTTTTTAAATACTTTAAAACTTTGTTCAGAGAAGGGTGACATGGGCTTCACCAGGCTGCCAAAGGAATCCATGGCACAGAGAAGGTCAAGATTCCCTGCTTTGTTGATACATTAATAGAGCAGTAGAAAGGATCTTTAGTGATCATTTTTGCTCCTCCCTATATAGATTCAGGTAAGATTCGTCCATGTCAGAAGTAAGCGAAGTAAATATGTATGTCCTATGTTTCAGATCATCTTAGGACATCTTCTACATCTTCCCTGACCAATGCTCCAATATCTTAGAAAGTTCATCAGCATTTATAACTTTACTGTGATTTTTGACCCCTTTTATACTGTATCACTTGAGTCATAGAAATTTTAAACTTCAGGGAAACAGAGATGATCTAGTCAAGTGGTTTTCTGCTTTGGCTGCATATTAGCCTAGGGAGCTTTTTTTTTTTTTTAAAGATTTTGTTTATTTGAGAATGAGAGATAGACAGCACGAGAGGGAAGAGGGTCAGAGGGAGAAGCAGACTCCCTGCTGAGCAGGAAGCCCAATGTGGGACTCGATCCCAGGACTCCAGGATCATGACCTGAGCCAAAGGCAGTCGCTTAACCAACTGAGCCACCCAGGCGCCCTAGCCTAGGGAGCTTTTAAAACCTCCTGCTGCCCAGGCCACACCTCAGATCACTTAAATCAGAATTTTCAGGGTGGAACCCAGGCATCAGTAGTTTATAAGGCTCCCTAGATGATTTCATTGTGACCAGGTCAAGAACTTTAAAATTGGACGAGTTTTAAATTACTGAGGCCCACAGTTTGAGACTTACCCAGTTTAGATGTGCACTAAGGTGGGGGTCAGATTATGGAATCATCAAATTGTGTAGGACCCTTGAAGACACGCATAACTTACCTATAAGCTTGGAGGTCTATCTGGGGGTACTATACCCGACATTGTTTGCCCAAGGCATATCTATCTCACATGTCTTTGCCTTTATCTGTCAGTCTAGTTCTCCTTGTTACAGCTAATCCTGAACCCATGCTTCATCTTTTTTTTTTTTTTTAAGATTTATTTATTTTTATTTTGAGAGAGAGAGAGTACATGAGAGGGGGGAGGGTTAGGGGGAGAAGCAGGCTCCTTACTGAGCACGGAGCCCGATGCGGGACTCAATCCCGGGACTCCAGGATCATGACCTGAGCCGAAGGCAGTTGCTTAACCAACTGAGCCACCCAGGCGCCCCCCCCCCCATGCTTTATCTTGCCAGCTTCATTTAGAATTTGTATATATACTCAATAAATCTCTGCCTTCAAGTCAGGCTGTTTCGGTTACCAGAATTTTTGCAGCTTTTAGGTGCTATTTGCCAGATATTTACAAATAATAGAGGGGAATGTTTTATGTTATATGGAGAAAAAAGAAAGATGCAAAACTAAATTATGTTTTCCCATATATAATGATCTTATAGCTTAATTAACTGATAATTATTCATTTATATCATCATAACAATGGTTTTGGGGTGCCTGGCTGGCTCAGTAGAACGTGCGACTCTTGATCTCTGGGTTGTAAGTTCGAGCCCCACATTGGGTGTAGAGATTACTTAAAATAAAATTGTTAGCGGGCGCCTGGGTGGCTCAGTCGGTTAAGCGTCTGCCTTCGGCACAGGTCATGATTCCAGGGTCCTGGGATTGAGCCCCAGATCGGGCTCCCTGCTCAGCGGGGAGTCGGCTTCTCCCTCTCCCACTCCCCCTGCTTGTGTTCCCTCTCTCGCTCTCTATCAAATAAATAAATAAAATCTTTAAAAAAAAATTTAATTTTTGAAAAATGGTTTACAGGGGCGCCTGGGTGGCTCAGTCGGTTAAGCATCTGCCTTCAGCTCAGGTCATGATCCCAGGGTCCCGGGATCGAGCCCCATGGTGGTCTCCCTGCTCAGCAGGGAGCCTGCTTCTCCCTCTCTCTCTGCTGCTCCGCCTGCTTGTGCTCGCTCTCTCTCTGTCAAATAAATAAAATCTTTAAAAAAAAAGTTTACATAGAATGGACATGTAATAGATGCTTATCAAATTAATGAATTAAGGAACTTCCTTCCTTCCTTACAGGAACTTTGTGTTAAAGCATCACGTGTTCTTGGTCCGAAACTGGGAGAAGATTCGGCAGAAACAAGAGGAAGTAAAGCACACCAGCGATAATCTCCACTCAGCATCATTATACACCCGCTGGAATGGCATCTGCCGAGATGACGGGAACATCAAGTCTGGTATGGCCTGGAAATGAAACGCTCCTGTTAATTCCATAATACTGTCTCAAAGTGATTATTTTAATTGCTTTCCTTCTATTCAATGATTCTTTTTAGTCTGGATCAAAAAAGTTAAGATCCCATTGTACAAGCATCAGTCAGCAATCACCTGTCCATCCCAGCTGCTCCAGTTCCTAGTCTGTGCTCTAGGGATTTAGGAAGAATCCCCTTCACCAGCTTCCCAAACACCACCTACAGCCTGAGAGTGTCCAGACATGCGATCGGTAGAGGGTCCTCCTACATCCCTTCCTACCTGGAAAATAACTTGCGTATGGGTAAATAGTGATGCTGCATGCAGGAAAAAATGACAGCAGTGTAAATTTGAAGACTTCTTCCCCCCACAATCAGATGAGCAGTATACACACAGACCTTAGGATTTCTATTCTCTAAGCTTCTTGAGTGAGTAACGTAATGGCGCTCCTGAGTTCAGATCTGTTGTCCACTGGCCTGTCCAAGCTTCTTTTCTAACTGCAAATAGAGTGTTCAAAAACTCATGCTCCTCTTTGAGTCTTTCCTTCTTCCCCCCCAGAAAGCAGAAGTGTTGTGCGTGGTGTATGAGGGAATCTGCTGTGTGCAAACTTGATCGATGTAGAAATTTGCCTTCTGTCCTCTCAGTGACTTTGACTAGCATGAGGTCTCTGGACTTACATCCCAATTAGGGCCAGTCTCCTGGTAATAACAACAAGTACTTTCTGAGTCTTTATTATAGGTCAGGGCCTGAGCTCAATACATGAAAAGCATTCCCTCATTTAACCTGCACGGTTACCTACTAAAGGAAGCACTACCACTATTCCCCCTTTTGCAGTCAAGAAGCTGAGACACAGAGTATAAGCAGCTTGGCCGAGATCGCAGAGCTAGGCAGTAGTGAAGCCAGAATTCAAACCACAAACTCATCTTGGGACGCAGGCTGGCAGCCGCTATACTGCACAGCATCTGGTCAGAGATCAGGCGCCTCTAACATGCAGCTCCAATCTCTGGTAAACTCCAGTGTTTCCTGACATTTCTTTAAGGAGGAGAGAAAGAACTGCACGATCACTAATCTACTTAATCACTTCAAGGAAAATAGAGCAAATGGCAAGAATCCATGGGGGAGGAGAGGCCACACAGTGCTCTCTTTTCCTAGAACTGATTTTCATTGTATCCTTGCAGACGTCTTCATGACCCAGTTCTCCGCCCTGCAGACAGCACGGTCAGTCCGAACAAGACGGCTGGCAGCAGCAGAGGAAAACATTGAGGTGGCACGGGCAGCCCGCCTCGCCCAAATCTTCAAAGAGATCTGTGATGGCATCATCTCCTACAAAGGTGACCACACTCACCCCAAAGGCTTTCTCCTCAGCTTTCTGTAAAAATCCTGCCATTCACCCTCATCTGAGACACCCAAGACTAAGAACGACTGACGGTTCAGGGCAAGGGATATAGGTTTACTTCGTTCTTCCCTTTGTCGGAGTGTAGAATTCATAGAACTGGTTTTAGTCTTTGGGGAGTGTGGACAGAATCTAAATCCCTTGATCTTCTATGTTAATCTTTGGTATTTATTAGAATTTTACCATAGTTAAGTACTGTACTTAGAAATCACATTTTTTAGCTCTAGGATACAAAGAACAGGTTTCTGTCTTGGATGTAATTTTCCTGAATGAGGCAGTGAATTTGCAATTTAAGGAAAAGGGTATTAATGAACATATGATTTCAGTGTTTCTTAACCTTTTCTTTTTTTTTTTTTTAAGTAATTTCTGCACCCTATGTGGGGCTCGAACGTACAGCCCTGAGATCAAGAATCACATGCCCCACTGACTGAGCTTTTAAAGCATTTTCATGCAGACACCTTTATCACCAGTTCTTTCCTCTTTCAAGACATCTTTAGAGTATGTGTTGTAGGTGATGGGGGGTTAGGAGAGTTTTTAACTTGGGGTAGGTAGTGTAGTAATGTATGTGACTTTTTCTGACCAAGAAATTTGGAGATGTTTAAAATGAGAGATTTTTACAAATAATTGCAGCTTTTTGCCCTCAAGTTTGGCCTATCTCTCCCTCCCTCTCCCTAGATTCTGAGTAATTTGGTTTCCCTTCCCTTTTCTTTCTCTGTCTCCTTCTTATCTCTGTACTTTAGTGGCTCTTTGCAGTTTTGTTAACCTAAGGATATAGGGAAGAAAGGTGGAACTAGCCTGTCCCGACATGTAAAGTTTTGTGGCACCTGATCTCTTTCCATCCTGAAAAAGTCACTCCTCATTTGCCAACCAGGCCCATCTGATACAATGTGAAACTATAGCCAGTATGTCTACACGTTCCTACATTTGGCATGAAATAACAGGCTTTTTCTCTCACCATAGTAAGTTGCTAGAAATCTAGTAAGATAGCCTGTGAAGGTTCCTCAAGAAATTAAAGGTGGAAGGTCATGATCCCAGGGTCCTGGGATCAATTTCTGCATCGGGCTCCTTGCTCATCAAGGAGCCTGCTTCTCTCTCTGCCTGCCGCTCCGCCTGTTTGTGCTCTCTCTCTATCCTCTGACAAATAAAATCTTTAAGGGAAAAAAAAAAATAAAGATGGAGGGGCACCTGGGTGGCTCAGTTGGTTGAGCATCCAGTTCTTGGTTTTGGCTCAGGTCATGATGTTTTGATCTCCAGGTTGTGAGATCAAGCCCCAAGTCAGGCTCCATGCTCAGCACAGGGTCTGCTTGGGATTCTCTCTCTCCCTCTGTCTCTCCCTGCCCTGCCTCCACCCCCCCAATACTCCCTTCACTCTCTCTCAAATAAATAAGTCTTTTTTACTTTTTTAAGATTTGATTAATTTATTTGACAGAGCATGAGCAGAGGGAGGGGCAGAGGGAGAGGGAGCAACAGGCTCCCCACTGAGCCGGGAGCCCAATGCAGAGCTCGATCCCAGAACACTGGGATCATGAGCTGAGCAAAAGGCAGATGCTTATCTACTGAGCCACCCAGGCGCCCGAATAAATAAATCTTTTAAGAAAAAAGACAGGAATACAAAAAAATTAAAAATAGGTAGAAGTACTGTATGACCCAGTAATCACACTACTGGGTATTACCCAAAGAAAATGAAAGTATTAATTCAAAAAGATACATGCGCCCCAGTGTTTTTGGCAGCATTATTTAGAATAGCCAAGATACAGAAGCAGCCCACGTGTCCATTCATAAGTGAATAGGTGGTATATACATGCAGTGGAATATTACTGGGCCATGAAAAAGAAGGAAATCTTGCCGTTTCTAACATGGAGTGAAATAAGTCAGACAAATACCATGTGATTTCACTTGTATGTGGAATCTAAAAAGCAAAATGAGCAAATAGATTCTTAAACAGAGAGAACAACCTGGTGGTTGCTGGAGGGGATGGGTGAAATAGATGGAGGGGATTGAGAGGTACAGACTTGCAGTCACAACGTAACGAGTCCCAGAGATGGAGAGTACAGCGTGGGGGTGTAGTCTGTAACACCAGTAGCCGTGTGGTGACACATGGTGACTGCACTTACCATGGTGAGCGTGGAGCAGTATACAGAACTGTCAGACCACAATGCTGTGCACCTGAAATTAATAGAACATTGTATGTTAACTATACTCCAATAAAAAATTAGGATTTTTTAAAGATTTTATTTATTTATTGGAGAGAGCTCGCGAGCAGGGGAGGAGCAGAGGGGGAGAGAGAGAATCTCAGGCAGACTCTGCACTGAGCACGGAGCCCACACAAGGCTCGATCTCGCAACCTTGAGATCTTCACCTGAGCTGAAACTGAGTCAGAGGCTTAGCCGACTGAGCCACCGAGGCGCCCCATAAAATAGAATTTTTTAAATGAAAGTAGGTAAGGTAGCAAGTAGCCCCACAGCCTGAATTGTTTTCATAATACAAAGTAACTGTGTTACAAGAAAATGGATTCCAGAAAATATTTACAGTACTAAATTATTCATTATCTGGAGTTTAATTGAATCCAAACCAACAGAATAATATTAACTGTGGTCCATTAACAAGAACTAGAAAGTACTATTTGGATAAGACGTTCTTTGCTTTCGAAAACTTGTAGAGCAGGGAAATGTCCTCAGCAGCCTCACCGCTTCAATAATTTCCCATCTGTCGCTATTCATATTCTGGGTCATCCTGAAAGTATCTTCCCTGCCTCTAAGTACCCACATTTCTGAAAAGTCCTGCACATTTCATGGTTGGGCCTCAAAAAGGCTTAGATTTTTTTTTCCCCCCTAACTTCTAATTGGGGGGTTTCTACATTTTCAGTGAGGAGTTAGTACTTGCCTGTCTTGTATCACATAGTCCTTCTAAACCTTGTTTTCTTTTGCAGATTCTTCCCGTCAAGCTCTGGCAGCACCCCTACTGAACCTCCCCCCAAAGAAAAAGTAAGTTCACAAATGTGGGAATCCTGTGAGTTTTCAATCAGTGCTGAGTGTGCCAGATTGACAGCCTGGCTTTCTGCTCCAGGAATGCTGATTACTACGAGAAGATCTCCGAGCCCCTGGACCTGGCCACCATAGAGAGGCAGATCCTCACCGGCCATTACAAGACCGTGGAGGCCTTTGATGCTGACATGCTCAAGGTGTTTCGGAATGCTGAGGTACTTACACCAACTTCAAACATGGATTTAAGAAGTTTGTTTTGAGGGGGAGCTGGGCAGGGGATGGACTAGATGGGGTTGGCTAGACAGATGGGATGTGGGCTAGATGGGGGTGGACATTAAGGAGGGCCCTTGTCGTGTTGAGCACTGGATGACATACATAAGTGATGAATCACTGAATTCTCCTGAAACCAATATTACACTATAGATTAACTAACTAGAATTTAAATAAAAACTTTAAAAAAGGGCGTCTGGGTGGCTCAGTCCATTCAGCATCTGCCTTCGGCTCAGGTCATGATCCTAGGGTCCTGGGATCGAGCCCCACGTCAGGCTTCCTGCTCAGCGGGAGTCTGCTTCTCCCTCTGCCTGCCACTCCCCCTGCTCATGCTCTCTCTCTCAAATAAATAAAATCTTTTTTAAAATCTATTTTTTTAAAAAAGTTTTTTTTGAAGGGCACTATTCTAGAAGCTTAAGATTTTTACCTTCTATCAACCTTTATATTTCTGGCTAAGAAAGGCAACAATTTTTTTTTAAGATTTTATTCAGGGGCGCCTGGGTAGCTCAGTCGTTAAGCGTCTGCCTTCAGCTCAGGTCATGGTCCCAGGGTCCTGGGATCAAGCCCCACATCGGGCTCCCTGCTCTGCGGGAAGCCTGCTTCTCCCTCTCCCACCACCACCACAACCCCCCCCCCCCCGCTTGTGTTCCCTCTCTCGCTGTGTCTCTCTCTGTCAAATAAATAAATAAAATCTTAAAAAAAAAGATTTTCATTTATTTGAGAGAGAGCACAAGCAGGGAGAGAGGCAGAGGGAGAGGGAGAAGCAGGCTCCCCGCTGAGCAGAGAGCCTGATACGGGACTCAATCCCAGGACCCTGGGATCATGACCAGCTGAAGGCAGATGCTTAACCAACTGAGCTACCCAGGTGCCCTAAAAGGCAACAGTTTTTATTGAGCACCCTTTGTGTAAGAGTTAGGTGTACTAAATATTGTGGAATCTTAAGACATTGATATGACTAGAATGAAAGGTTAAATTATAGTACCTAAAAAGAAATTTTTGTAAAAACCTAATTTAGGGGATGCCTGGGTGACTCAGTTCAGCATCCGGCTCTTGGTTTCAGCTCAGGTCGTGATCTCAGGGTCATGAGTCCCACATTGGGACCATGCGCATGCACACACCCACACTCTCCCACTCACTCTTTCTCTAGTTGAATGGATAAATCTTGGGGGAAAACAACCTAATTTAGTATTGAACCTTTGTATTTACAAAATATATTTTACCATACTTAAGTCTTATCTGTAGTTTCTTTCCTCAAGACAATAAGTACATGTGAAATACACAGAATTATGTATAGTAAGTAGAAATAAATCTGGGGCGCCTGGGTGGCTCAGTCGGTTAAGCGACTGCCTTCGGCTCAGGTCATGATCCTGGAGTCCCTGGATCGAGTCCCACATCAGGGTCCCTGCTCGGCGGGGAGTCTGCTTCTCCCTCTGACCCTCCCCCCTCTCATGTGCTCTCTCTCTCATATTCTCTCTCTCAAATAAATAAAATCTTAAAAAAAAAATTAAAAAAAAAAAAGAAAGAAATCTGAAGGATGGAATTGAGGGGGGTTAGGTTAATGGGTGGTAGATTAGGTGAAGCTCATTGATGAGAAGGTGACCTTGAACTGATTTAAAGGAGAAGATTGAATATTGTATGGTACATAGAAAAGAGGAAGTTTTGGGGCACCTGGGCAGCTCAGATGGTTAAGCGTCTGCCTTCAGCTTGGGTCATGGTCCCAGGGTCCTGGGATCGAGCCCCACATCAGGCTCCTGGCTCAGTAGGGAGTCTGCTTCTCCCTCTCCCCCTGCTCATGCTCTATCTCTGCGTCTCGAATAAATAAAATCTTAAAGAGAGGAAGTTTTCCAGTGCTTTTGAAATACCTTGGAGAGGAATTGGAACGACAGAAGGGGCTATAAGATAAAGGAAGGTGAGGACAGAAACGAGAGAAAAACAGACAAGTAGGAGAAGAATTAGATCAGTCCTGAATTAAAACATGTTTTCTACTGAAACCCAGCTTCCATATCCAAAGATTTAGCTCTGTCCCCAGCATCTGCCCCAGACAGAGTAAGTGCAGATGTTCTACACACTGCACTTGTGAGAGTAACTCATATTCCGTGCTCACTGGGTGTTTGAGCTGAGGACAGTAAGGCCTGTGGCTAAGTTGAATGACAGCAGCAGAGCAAATGGGACACCATCATGCAGATTCTAATTTTTATTCATGTTAGTTGATATTTGCTGGTATTGAAAATCTGTTAACCAAAATGGGAGAACAATGAAAATCCTCCTGCCTCCTCCTGTGTGTGGGTGGGTGGGTGGGTGGGTGTGGTGTGGGTGGGTGTGTGTTTGAAGTAAGCTCTACCCCCACCATCGGGCTCAAACTCACCACCCTGAGATCAAGAGTCATGGCTCCTTCGACTGAGCCGGCCAGGTGCTCCTCTTCAGGTATATTTTTAAGCCACGTTGAGAAGACTAAACAGGATTTCTTTTTCCTGCTTTCTTCAGAAGTACTATGGGCGTAAATCCCCAATTGGGAGAGATGTTTGCCGCTTACGGAAGACCTACTACAATGCCAGGCACGAGGCATCAGCCCAGATTGATGAGATTGTGGGAGAGACAGCAAGTGAGGCCGACAGCAGCGAGACGTCAGTCTCCGAGAAGGAGAACGTGCACGAAAAGGACGACGATGTGATCCGCTGTGTCTGTGGCCTGCACAAGGATGAAGGCCTCATGATCCAGTGCGACAAGTGCATGGTGAGGCCCGAGCGGGGCACAGGCCTTTCACAAGGCCTCCAGGCTTGGCTTGCAGGTTTAGGAACTTTAGCTCTCACCCCTCACTGTGCACCAGATTGCCCTTCTCCTGTTTCATACCCCTGGCATGTTCCCCTCTCGTTTCTTTCCCACCTGTCTTTCTCTTTGCCCACTTCCCCACTGCACACACCTCACGGCATCTTGATCGAGAAGAATGTTCCTGCGCAGGACAGGGCTTTACGCCAGAGCGGCGTCAGTGGTGCTGCATTCGGTAGCATTAATGCAGGCACAGCGCCACGGACGAGCTCCTGATGGAGGAGCGTCTGAACCTGCTACCTTACTGAACGGGAAGTGGAGCCAAGAGGGGCGGGGCAGCCAGGGCGGTCAGGAGGCTGGAATTCGGCAGCAGCCCAGAGAAGCATGGTGAAACTAAGGCCTCCACACGGCCTGGTCACTGGTGTGTGCCACTTCGTAAGCACCATATGGTGCTGTATTCGTTCATCTTCCCGTTCTCTGTCCAGCTCGTTTCCTTTCCCACATGAATGTATGGACCAGTCAGTGTACATATGTTCAAACAGGCTCTTCTTTTCCCCCTATTTTAAGCTATTTATCTCTAATTTCTCACTTACCCACTTATCCCTTAGTTCCTGTTTGACTTTACCCCGTCCTACTGCTAATTTTTTGTTGTTGTTGTTCTCAGCCCCCAGCACTTCTCTCAGTCAGTCTGAGTCTCCCCTCCCAACTGCACTCTTCTCCCCACAGGTGTGGCAGCACTGTGACTGCATGGGCGTGAACTCAGATGTGGAACACTACCTTTGTGAGCAGTGTGACCCAAGGCCTGTGGACAGAGTAAGCTGCCCTCTGGTGATACTGTGATCTACAAGTAGGAGATGTAGCACATGGTCTCTTATCTGCCCTGCTCCTGGTGCACTGAATTTCCTTTGATAAGTCACTCAACCTCTCTGGGCCTTAGTTTCTTACACTTTACACTAGGGTAATAATTCTGCCCTTTGTTTTCTCAAGTGTGTGGTCAAAGGGGAAATAAAATATTTAGAAACCTGAGGAAGGAATGGTACTATATAAACACTGTCAACTATCCATGAAAGAAGTACTCATGAAGTCCAGAAATTGAGGATACAGGTTAGTCTTAGGCCCACTTTCCAGGAGAAACAGTGGGTTGGGTAACTTGCCCAAGTTACTAAATGGGTTTTTGTCCTGGTTCTGCTGTGTTTATACGTGTGATCTTGAGCAGGTCTTCTTTATAAAGGGAAGTGTCTTAGGCAGTATTTCTTAATAGCGGTGTTGTCATTTTGAGTGGATGTTTCTGTGCTCTGAGGGATGTGCTGCGAAATGTCTGGCATCCCTGGCCCTTGGGCACTAAATGCTAGTGCTTCCCTGAGTCCTTGTGACAGTCACTGTCCCCCTCACACATTTTCATGCTTCCCAGGGGGTGCAAGAGCAGCCATATGATTAGTGCTTCATACAGTTAGTTTGGGGTACTTGGCCTATCAGTTTTGTTTTCTGCCTTCACTTTCCCAACTCAACTCCAGCTGCTTTTATCTTTGTGTACATGTGTGTTGTGTTGAAATGACTAAACAGTAAGTCTTAAATTGGTTGTGAATTCTAGGTTTATTTTCCCCTGAATGGCGCTCAGTAGGCTGGTGTAGTAGTCCCAGCCCTTATCTCTTGGCTTTCCGTTCTTACCAGGAGGTACCCATGATTCCTCGGCCCCACTATGCCCAGCCTGGCTGTGTCTACTTCATCTGTTTGCTCCGAGATGACTTATTGCTTCGTCAAGGTGTGTACACAGGAGCTGACCCTCCCTTTCTGAGTGGTGGGAGTATCTGCCTTCTGCATAATAGTTATTGTCACCACATGACCTTACATAGCAGTTGAATGTGGTTGACCCATGGACAATGCAGGGTTTAGGGGCACCAACCCCCCCCCCCCCGCACAGTCAATCCACATACAACTTTTTACTCCCCAAAACCTTACCTACTAATAGCCTACTGTTGACCAGAGCCTTACTGTTAATATAAATAGTCGATTAAAACATATTTTGTATATTACATGTATTGATATATTGCATGCTTAAAATGGAGTAAGCTAGAGAAAAGAAAATGTTAAGAAAATCATAAGGTTTTTTACATTACATCTACAATACTGTACTGTATTCATTAAAAAAGAAAAAAAAATCTGCGTATAATTTCGACCCGTGCAGCTCAAACCCATGTTGTTCAAGGGTTGACAGTATAGGTTTGTGTGTCCTTGGACTTTATACAGTTTCCCCTCCACCAAATAAAACTAATTTTGAGAGACCAGGATGTCATAAAGCTAATTTTAGGACTGAGAAGGAGAGGGAAGACCTCCCTCATGCCATTCTCATAGTCCAGAATTGATGACCATCACTGTTAGACTGTCAGTGGTAGCTCTGTATTTGTTGTTTGTTTTAGACCTTGGGTCGGACCAGTGGACACCTCACAGAGTTCACGGAGGCATCATTTAACTTGTCCTGTGCCTTCCTAGGTGACTGCGTGTACCTGATGCGGGATAGCCGGCGCACACCTGACGGCCACCCAGTCCGCCAATCCTACCGACTATTGTCGCACATTAACCGAGACAAACTGGACATCTTCCGCATTGAGAAGTTATGGAAGAATGAAAAGTACGTGTTGAGGTCCTCTATCTTCTTCCAGCTCTGCCCTTCCAGGACAGAGCTGAATATTGCCTAGGATCTTGCCAGTCGACTAAACCTCTCCCGTTCTTCCTTAGAGAGGAACGGTTTGCCTTTGGTCACCACTACTTCCGCCCACACGAGACCCACCACTCTCCGTCCCGCCGCTTCTATCACAACGAGCTGTTTCGGGTGCCACTCTACGAGATCATTCCCTTGGAGGCTGTGGTGGGGACCTGCTGTGTCCTGGACCTTTATACATATTGTAAAGGTAAGTGACCTGAGCTACTAAAGAAATGACCTCCTGTCCCCTATTCCTTCATCTGCAATTGCCACTCCATTCTTACTGTCTCCCAGGCTAGCTATGAAGCTTCAAAAAGCTATATTTTTTTCTTTCTTTTAGCTAGCGCTTGGTACTCAGTAAACGTTTTTTTGTTTCTTTTTCTTTTTTATTTTTTTTCTTGATAATAAATGTTAATCCTCCCCCCGTTTTTTGGGGGGGTTTTTTGGTTGTTTTCTTTTTTTATTTAGTTAGCATTTCTTAATACTGTGTATTCGGCATTCTATTAGTATTGTCACAAGGCATGTTCTTCCACCCATTCCAGAATCCCAAAGGCCATCAACAACTCTGGACATTAAACAAACCCAAAAAGCACACTAGCTTTTTGAGCTCCATGGTTAACAGTGTAGGCTGTGAAGTCAGATAATCTATTTTCAAATTCCAGCCCCACCACTTTTTACCTGTGTGTCCTTGGGCAAGTTTACCTAATCTACTGGCAGTAGGGATTAGTACCTATTATAGTGTTTTGTGAAGATTAAATAACGTATTCTGCAAAGCACATGCCCAGTTTAGGCTCACAGTGAAAGCTTAGTATGCCTAGTTGTCACCATTAGTGAGCTCGGATGCCTCACCTTCTCTGTCATAGCAAATGGTTCAGAAGAATATGTACTCTCATTTAAGCATTGGCTGCTTGGGGCTCCATGATTCTGGGGACTTCATCTCCCAGTTATAAAGTGCTCATTTCCACATGTGCTCCCCTCATTCATCCTGCCTTTCCTCTCTCCTAATATCGCCACACTCTGTGTTCCCTCACAGATTCCTGCAGCACTTGGGTGAGCTGCCTATCTGATTCCTTCCCAGCCAGTGACCCGCCCTTACACTCTGAGATACACACACACACACCTCTCTCCTTTTCCAGTGCTGCAGTCTGGGGACACTCTCCTTTCTTCTGCAATCACCAGATGCCTCTCAGAATCGCTACAGTGTCCCCTCTTCAGGGTCCCACTGCCCTCCCGGTGGTATGGGCTCATCTCTGGGGCGGCTCGAGCTCAAGGTGAAGCAGGGAAGGCAGGAGAGTTCTTTAACAGTATTTGAACTCCTAGGGAGACCCAAAGGGGTGAAGGAGCAAGATGTGTACATCTGTGACTATCGGCTTGACAAGTCCGCACACTTGTTCTACAAGATCCACCGGAACCGCTATCCTGTCTGCACCAAACCCTACGCCTTTGACCACTTCCCCAAGAAGCTCACTCCCAAAAGAGATTTCTCAGTAAGTTTCCTTCCTCTTACCTGTCATGTCAGCGTAATGTAGTTCATGCATGGAATTCCTAGGGTAGGAACCTTCAGGCTCTCTGCTGCTTCATCCTGTTAGTCCATCCCAAACTCTAGGAATCTGTCTCTAGTTTGGATTTTTTTTTTTTTTTTTTAAAGTAGGCTCCGTGCCTAGCGTGGAGCCTGACATGGGGCTTGAACTCACGACCCAGAGATCAAGACCTGAGCTGAGATCAAGAGTCAGACACCCAACTGACTGAGCCACCCAGGCGCCCCTGTTTGGGATTTTTAAACAGCATGAATACGTTGATTCTACATTTCCTGGCATGGACTGTTTCTCAGCAAGTTGTTGATGTCCGTGTTGTAGTCAGGTTTTCTTTTCTCTCTCACCTCTTTACAGTCTTAGCCCTGGAGCTCTAGTGTAGTTTTTGGTTGTGTTTTCATATCCACAATTTTAAGAAGCAAGCAGAGAATAGCAAGAACCCTGAGAAAATTTTGGTGAAAATAATTCAGGGCTTTTTCCTTATATCTCCATTTAAAATGTAAGACACCATCGTTATATAAAATGTGCAAAGTATAGAGGCATTAGGAAGAGAAAATTGTATGTCATCTCACTACCCAGAAAATAATCACTGTTAACATTTACATTTCTTGCCTTTGTCATGCGCTTTTTCTTTAAAATGTTATGAACATACTCCTCCAGGTCTTTTGTGCCGTCATCAGTCCACAGAGTCTTTGGACATCCATCCATCCATCTGTCCATTTGTGCTAATCAAACTTTGGACTAAGCTCCTCATCCTTGACTCTGCCTTCTGTGGGCTTGTCAAAAATTGTGACCATCTTCCTGGAATGTTGAGAAACCATCTAACCAGAAAACAAACTTTATGTCCCTGTTTTTCCTATAATTGTTTTTGGATTTCTCTAAACAATATTTATTTTATATTCTCTCTGCACACCACCAAGCCCTGCCTCTCATCTAGACTTCTTTGGTCTTGCTTGCTTGGGCAGCAGCTCACAGGTCAGCATTAAAGCCCCACTTGGCACTACTTAAACGTTAGGATGGGAGCCTGTCCCTCTTACTGTCATCGCAGGCTTACAAGATACCAAAACCACCGTGGCCTTACAGACTGACAGAAGGACTGACCTTCTGCCCTTAAAACACAGCCACCCAGCTCAGAAGGGCTTTAGCCCTGTGTTTTCCTCCCTGGCTCCCCAGCTCATCTGAGCCAGCTTCTGCAGCACACTTACTACTTCCCTTTCTTTTCAGCCTCATTACGTCCCAGACAACTACAAGAGGAACGGAGGGCGGTGAGTGCCCTGGGGGACGGGAGGAGAGCCCTTATATAAGGGGTTGGCCAACAACTTGAGTGGAGCAGGAGAACCAGCATCAAGGACTGGGGACTCGGTGACAGTGGCCTGCGGTGCTGGCAGTGACTCGGAAGCACTGGGTGTCAGGAGGCACGGTCTGCCGATGGAGCTTTAGTTGGGGGCAGGGAGGGAGACTCACAAGGAGTAGAGACAGAAGGACAAGAAGATTTGGAACGGAACTCTAGACAGGTTCAGAAAAGTCTCCTTTTTTAAGACTTCTGCAAGCTTTTCACATTACCCCAAGATGTCTCACTTCTTGGGACCTCAGTCGAGGACCTGCTGTCAAGTAGCTGTTCAGAGCAGAGCTTTCACTGAGCGTGGTGGGCACATAGCTTTTACTTGTGCTGGTTTTGTGCATGAGAGTCTTGTTCTTGGTGAAGGAGCAGTGAAGGTTTTCCTTCCGTTTCCCTTTGGGGGGAGGGAGCGGCGGGCCGCACTGACATTGGGGCTGGCAGTGAGGGCAGAGTCAAGAAAGGCAGGCTCCTTGCAGATTCTCACTCTGGTTGGACTGCGGGCATCACAAGGTTGTGTCGTACTTCTCTGGCGGCTAGCCAGGCAGCTTGACCAGCTGTGGGATAGTGTATGGATTCCTGAAAGAAGGCGAATTGAGTTTTATAATTAGAAAATACATTTCAGAAAAAGGTAGTGGTTTGTGCAAATAATTAATACAGTGGTGACCAGAGCCAAGGCTCCTAAGAGCCAGACTCAGGATCTCAATCCAGCCTGAGGTACCAGCCCTCTCCACCCCTCCCCTCCCCTCCTGAGTGCCCTGAACAGCCTTAGTCAAAACGCCCACATCTCTCTGGCAGGTCATCCTGGAAGTCCGAGCGCCCAAAGCCACCCTTAAAAGACCTGGGCCAGGAGGATGACGCTCTGCCCTTGATTGAAGAGGTTCTGGCCAGCCAGGAGCAAGCCGCCAATGAGGTGCCCAGCCTGGAGGAATCAGAACGGGAGGGGGCCCTTGCTGAAGTCAGCGAGGGTGAAAAGAAACCAGAAGAGATTAGTCAGGAATCTCAGCCTGCCTGTACCCCTGAGGAGCGACGGCACAACCAGCGGGAACGACTCAACCAGATCTTACTCAATCTCCTTGAAAAAATCCCTGGGAAAAATGGTAAGAATGGTTTAAGATAAAGGGGAAATTAGTGAGGAAGGAGTGAAAAAGAAGAACTTAACCATTATTGCCCAGGATAGAAAGTGTTCTGTGAAAACGTCATAGTTCTTTGATGGGCCCTGCACACACGGTTCCATCCCAGGAAGGGGGGCTGTGGGCGGTGAGAGCCTCCCCCCACCCCACCCCACCCCAGGGAACTCCTCTCCTGAGGCTGGAGGAAGGCCTGAGGTGCTTAGAGGTCGGAAAAGGAGTCACTGGACTCCTGTGACCTCCTTAGAGCTCAGATCTGGAATGAGGAGTGGGAGGGTGGTGTTTGATGAGCCTCCTTGGTTCTGTTTTCAGCCATCGATGTGACCTACTTGCTGGAGGAAGGGTCAGGCAGGAAGCTGCGAAGGCGTACTTTGTTCATCCCAGAAAACAGCTTTCGGAAGTGACCCTCAAAGGAGAAGCTCGAGCATCTGCGATCAGTGGAGCTAACAGTCCTGCCTCTTGTCCCTCTGAGTGTAGACAGGGGTGGGAAGGGTCCGTCCGGCAAGGGGAAGGGGCCATGTCGTTGACATTAGGTACTTCATAAACCTTGGAGCTAGTGGAGAGGAAGGGAGTCTGTCTAAACAGTTCAGTTTAATTTGTTTTCCTCTCCACCGCTTCCCCCCGAGGGTTCGTGATGGGAGGAGGACGGAGCGCACAGGGGGTGCCCGGAGCCTTGTGGTACTTTACAGCACTCGCCCGTGCCCCCAGCTCGAGTCTTTCTGGGCCATCCTCTGGTCCCACAGACACTGCTGCCAGGCTGCTTCCTCTACCCAGGTGTCACTCCCAGTCCCTCAGGAGGGCGTCCCCACCCCACCCCACCCCTTCTCTGTGGGCTCCAAGAGCTGGCCCGGAGACCTCAAACAAACAGTAGCTGGGGCCTCTTTCCAGATAGATCCTTGACCGGGAAGGTTTCTCCCTCCTTTCTTGCCCAATCAGGTCAAAGTAAAACGTGAACTGACAAGTCCAAGCCCTTGTGTCTGCTGCCCTTTTCCCTACCTCTCCTCCCCGGACTGTCATCCTGGAATAGGGAAGGCCCCCATGGGGTCAGAGGGCACAGGGTGTACTGTCGTCATTTTCGTTTGACCCTTCATAACCTGCCAAACCTGTTTGTTTCTAACGAGAAGGCCGGGCCCCTGCCCGCATGCGTGTCGCCCCACGCTGTCGCTCGTGTGTCTGCTGTGTCGCACGAACACAGACGCCCTCGAGCCGACGCAGCACCCCCGGGGAAGCGGACTCTCCCCCCCACGAGTCACTACAGGCTGTTGAGCAGTGTTCGCCGGCCGGAGTATTGGTCGTGAGTGTGCGCCATCAAGTAAAACACTACTCTCGTTTTCCTCGTTACACGGTTTTCAGTGTCCACCTCCTGGAGACAGTGCTCGCCCCGCCCACCCCCTCTCCTCCAGCCTCCTGGTGACAGCGGCGGCGGGGGGGGGGGCGTCAGGGTGTCTCTTTCCTTCCCATTCTTTGGGCCAGAAGCTACCAGACGATACTGTCTCTTTAAAAATAAAATTTAAAAAGCTTTGCTTTGTTGTCTTCTCAGACATACATATGCATATACGTTTTAGATGTTCTTATAAGAGAAAAGATGGTTTTTAAATGTGCCAAGTTGTGTGTGTGTATATATATATGTATGTATGTATGTATGTATGTATATATATCTGCTGCGTGACTAGGAAGCAATACAGCAGTAAACACGTCCCGTCACTTTTCTCTAACCCCGGACCAACGCTGTCCCCACTGTACATTTCCCCTGATGATGACGACGCTCTGACTTGTTTAGGTAGAAACATTGACACCTTCCATTCCATTGAATCTTTTTTTCTTTTTCTCCTTTCTGTGTCAATCTTGAGGGAAAAAAAAACAAAAACAAAAGAGACAGGGGATGCCAAAGATCCCCTTGAGCAGAGAAAAAGCAGAATAAATATTTTATTAAAGAAAAGAGAATTAAGAAAATAGTTTGGAGTATTTTCTTACTGTAGAGAAGCACTGTACATTACGACGAGACCTGGGTATAAGATACTCACGTGTGGAGCTGGGAACGTCGCATGTCCACGCCCATTTAAGTGGTTTCTTTTGGTTTTCATTGCAGGGAGCTGGGTGGGAGGGAGGTGGGAAATAGGGGCACTTTGGGGGTCTCCTTTTAGTCAAAAAACAGGAAAACGACAAGAAAGAGATTAAAATTCAATATTTCCTTGAATAGTGTTAAACACTAAAATTTTAAAAAAGACAAAAAAAGAAAAACGAAAAAAACTTTGTAAAATATGAGAACAGAAGCAAAAGACACTACGCTCTGTCATTTTATCTTTCTTTTGTTGAAAGACTAAAAAATGTTTTTTAGACAATCAAATGTTAGGTAAGTGCAAAAACTTGTTTTTTCTTACTGGTGTAGAAATTAATGCCTTTTTTTATTTTTCGGTTATTTTATAATAATGAAATAAAAAGAACCCCCTAGCTGCCAGGCGGGTTTTGGTGTTTGAAATGCGGGGCAAAGCACTACATCACTGCAAATAGATACAGAGTTAGTCTGCATGTCTGTAGGCTGTGTGATTGCGGAAAATATAAATGCTGCTAATATATTTCCTTTTTACAAAAGCATATCTAAATAGATGATTGTTTTGATGTTAATCTTTGTAAATTATGTATTACCAATTTTAACATTGGATGTAATTGCATAAAAAGCTTGCATCTCAATCCTTGAAAGTCTAGTATTAAATGGAAAAAACTTTTCCTAACAACAGAGTGGTGAGCTTGCTGTTTTTTCCCCTTTCCTGGCCTCCATTTGTCTTCCAGGATCTCCCTCCTCCATCCTGTTTCCAGGCAGATCTTTTTAAAACCACATCATCAGCATCCTGGGCCCCTGCAGGGGCACACTCACCACTGACTAGGAGATAAATCCATTTCCTCAATCTTAGGATCTTTTTGGTCGGAGCCCAGCCTAACCAACCAACAGAATAATCATTGAGCCCTCTGTCCTCTGCACACGTACACACACATCACTCATTCAGTATTCACGAACAAACCCCAGGCTTGGCAACAGTAACTTCAGGCCAGTGTGTCAGACCATTTCCATCCTAAGCAGCTTACATGTATTCAATAATTAATCTTCACAACAGCCGTTTTAGGTAGGTACCCAAACCCAATTTTATAGATGAGGGAACTGAAGCAACACAGAGATTAAGTAACTTGCCCACAATCATCTAGCTAGATAATCTTCATTAGAGCCCTCTGTAGTTACTATTCCCATTTTGTAGAAATGAAAACTGAATCTCAGCAACTTGCCAGAGATCACCTAGTAACTAGTGTTGGACTCAGAATGCCAAAATCTTCATGTTCATCTGCAAATAGAAAAGTGTCAGAAATAGTGTGACCCTACTAAGGAAGATAGATTCACTCCTGCCAGCAACTGAAGGACACAACAAAATGTCATCTCAGAAATGGATCACCACTGCAGCTCTGAGTTCAGCTGGAATGGTTGCTCAGAGGCATCAAGACTATTGACTGCAGGGCGCCCGGGTGGCTCAGTTGGTTAAGCGACTGCCTCCGGCCCAGGTCATGATCCTGGAGTCCCGGGATCGAGTTCCACCTCAGGCTCCCTGCTCGGCGGGGAGTCTGCTTCTCCCTCCGACCCTCTTCCCTCTCGTGCTCTCTCTCTCTCATTCTCTCTCTCAAATGAATAAATAAATAAATCTTTAAAAAAAAAAAAATATTGACTACATTCCCAGGATGTGAGGGTGGTTCGATACTTGCAAATCAGTCAGTGTAATACATCACATCAATAAGAGAAAGGATAAGAACCATATGATCATTTCAATAGATGCAGAAAAAGCATTTGACAAAGTACAATGTTCATGGTAACCCTCAAACAGTAGGTTTAGAGGGAACATACCTCAACATAATAAAGGCCATATGTGAAAAACCCACAACTAACATCATAATGGTGAGAAAGAGAGCTTTCCCGTAAGGTCAGGAACAAGACAGGGATGTCCACTCTCACCACTTTAATATAGTCCTGGAACTCCCAGCCACAAGCTATCAGGAAAAAGCAATAAAGGCCATCCAAATTGAAAAGGAGGAAGTAGGGACACCTGGGTGACTGAGTCAGTTAAACATCTGCCTTCGGCTCAGGTCATGATCCTGGGATCCTGGGATCGAGCCGCACATCGGGCTCCCTGCTCAGTGGATAGCCTGCTTCTCCCTCTCCCTCTGCCTGCCGCTCCCCCTGCTTGTGCTCTGTCAAATAAGCATTCAAAAAAGAAGGAAGAAGTAAAACGTTCACTATTTTCAGATGACACCATACTACAAAGAACCACTTTCTTACACCATACCCTAAAGACCACCAAAAAACTACTAGAACTGGTAAATGATTTCAGTTAGGTTGCAGGATATAAAATCAGTCTCCAGAAATCTGCATTACTATATGCCAATAATGAAGCAGCAGGTAGAGAAATTAAGAAAACTACCCCCCCAAAAAAATCCCATTTACAGTTGCACCAAAAATAATAAAATACTTAGGAATAAACAAAGGAGGTGAAAGACCTGTACTCTGAACACTATATTGATGAAAGAAATTGCAGATGATGCAAACAAATGGAAAGATACTCAATGGTTATAGATTGGAAGAATAAATATTGTTAAAATGTCCATACTAGGGGTGCCTCAGTGGCGCAGTCAGTTGAGCGTACAACTCTTGGTTTTGGCTCAGGTCATGATCTCAGGGTCGTGACATGGAGCCTTGCTTTGGGCTCTGCGCTCAGCACAGAGTCTGCCTCTCTTTTCCCCCACCACCCCCTATGCTCACTCTCTCAAATAAATACATGTTTAAATAAGAATAAAAAACAAAATGTCTATGCTACCCAAAGCAATCTATAGATTTAATGCAATCCCTATCAAAATACCAACAGCATTTTTCACAACTAAATCCTAAAGTTTGTATGGAACCACAAAAAAGACTCCGAATAGCCAAAACAATCTTGAAAAAGGAAAGCAAAATTGGAGGTATGACAATCCCAGATTTCAAATCATACCACAAAGCTGTAGTAATCAAAACAGTATGGTACTGGCACAAAAATAAAACACAGATCAATGGAACAGAGAGCCCAGAAATGGACCTACGATTATATGGTCAATTACTTTTTAACACAGAAGGCAAGAATATACAATGGAAAAAATATAGTCTCTCCAACAAATGGTGCTGGAAAAATTGGGACAGCTATATGCAACAGAATGAAACTGAACCACTTTCTTACACCATACACAGAAATAAATGGATTAAGGACCTAAATGTGAGAACTGAAACCATAAAAATCCTAGAAGAGAGTATAGGCAGTAAGGTCTCTGACACTGGCCACAGCCAACATTTTTCTAGATGTCTCCTGAGGCAAGAGAAACAAAAGCAAAAACTATCAGGACCACGTCAAAATAAAAAGCTTCTGCAGAGCAAAGGAAACAATCAACAAAACTAAAAGACAACTGACAGAATAGGAGAAGGTATTTGCAAATGACATAGCCAATAAAGGGTTAGTATCCAAAATATATAAAGAGCTATAACTCAACACCAAAAAATAATAATCAATTAAAAAATAGGCAGAAGACATGAACAGACATTTCTCCAGAGAAGACCTCCAGATGGCCAACAGATCCACAAAAACATGCTGAGCATCACTCGGCATCAGGGAAATGCAAATCAAAACCACAATGACGTACGACCTCACACTGCCAGAATGGCTAAAACCAAAAACACAAGAAACAGCAAGTGCTGGCGAGGACGTGGAGAAAAAGGAACCCTCGAGCACGGTTGATGGGAATGCAAACTAGCACAGCCACTGCGGAAAACAACATGGAGTTTCCTCAAAAAATTAAAAATAAAATTTCCATATGATCCAGTAATTCCACTATTGGATATTTACACACAGAATATGAAAAACACTTATTCAAAAAGATACATGCACCCCTATGTGTTTTATTCTTTTGAGATTTTTTTTTTTTCAGGTGATCTCTACACCCAGTGTGGGGCTTGAACCCACAACACAGAGATCAATAGTCCCACGGCCCTCCAGGAGCCCTCACCTGTTTGCTGCAGCATTATTTATAGTAGCCATATTATGAAAGCAGCGCAAGTGTCCCTTTTTTTTTTTAAAGATTTTATTTATTTATTTGACAGAGACACAGAGAGAGAGGGAACACAAGCAGGGGGAGTGGGAGAGGGAGAAGCAGGCTTCCCGCGGAGCAGGGAGCCCGACGTGGGGCTCGATCCCAGGACCCCGGGACCATGACCTGAGCCGAAGGCAGACGCTTAACGACGGAGCCACCCAGGCGCCCCGCAAGTGTCCCTTGATAAATGAATGAGGTTGTACACACACACAATGGAGTATTACTCAGCTGTAAAAAAGAATGAAATCTGGCCATTTGCAACAACATGGTTGGATCTAGAGGGTATGATGCTATGAGAAATAAGTCAAAGAAAGATAAATGCCATATGATTTCACTCATATGTGGAATTTAAGAAACAAAGGAAATTTAAAAAGAGACAAACTCCAAAACAGACTCTTAACTCCAGAGGGGAGGGGGGGGTAACAGGTGAGATTCCATTTACCATGATGAGCAATGTACAGAATTCCTGAATCACTATACATCAGAAACTAATATAGCACTGTATGTTACCCACGCTGGAATTTGGATTTTTAATCAGTTTTTAAGAAAACGGCTGGGACGCCTGGGTGGCTCAGTCAGTTAAGCGTCTGCCTTCGGCTCAGGTCATGATCCCAGGGTCCTGGGATCGAGCCCCACATCGGGCTCCCTGCTCAGCGGGGAGCCTGCCTCTGCCTCTGCCTCTGCCCCTCCCCCCTACTTGTGCTCTCTTTCTCTCTCTCTCACAAAAAAAAACTGTAAAAAAAAAAAAAAAAAAAAAAAAAGAACTGGCTGCAAGAGCTGGATGTCTGTCGGCTCCTGCGAGGACATGAGGCTCTCCTGTTGTTAGGCAAGTCCTGTCGTGGGTGCAAAAGTAGCACATTGGCAGGGTTTTTTTTCTTTTTTTTTAAGATTCCATTCATCCATTTGTCAGAGAGAGAGAGAGAGAGCACAAGCAAGGGGAGTGGTAGGCAGAGGCAGAGGGAGAAGCAGGCTTCCCGCGGAGCAGGGAGCCCGATGCGGGACTCGATCCCAGGACCCTGGGATCATGACCTGAGCCGAAGGCAGACGCTTAACCAACTGATTGGCAGTTTTTCTTTTTTTTTTCCCTCAGTTTTTTAACCTTAATTATGTTTTAAGTATTGGTATCCACTACAGCTGTTCTAGGTAATATGTAAGAATGCTAAATTTCTTATTCACATTTGGCCTATTTCATGATGCTCTGCAAGGTCTGTTAGTCTTACCACCTCCACAAGCCTGAGGACCCATTAGGCTGTGACTACAAATATCACCAGATCCCAGCGACGCTCCAGCAATATTGTCCCAGGCTCCTCGCAGTTGTTAGGGTGACCCCCTGTCAAAGCCAGTGTGTGGGGACAGGAGGCAGGACAGGGCAGGCAGGGTCCGGGGAACCAGATGCTGTGACGGCACACAGGAATCATGGGTCACTGTGCATATCTCACTGTGAGAAACACTGGCCCCAAAGTCAAAGTCACAGTGGTCTTCCACATATTTACTGTTTTATAATTTCATGATAAAAATAAAAAGCAACTGGAGAAGCTGTGTCATCTTGAGCGCTCAGACTCCTACGGTGGCAGCCAGCGGTTCCCGGAGGCTCTGAGTCCGGCGTGAGAAACGTCATCCCTGAGCGGACCCGAGATGTCCGGTCTAACAGCGAGATGGCAAACAAATAGCAAAACTAACGAAGCAGTGGAGGAGTAACAAGAACTGGCCAGGAATGGGGAGCATTAAGTCAGGAAATGGCAGAAGTGTGCAAGGCTGCTCCTGAGCACGGCTCCGCTCCCCTCTCCTGTTGCCAGCCTGTTGTCACCTTGACCCAAGTGGCCGAAGGTGGAGGAAAAGTTCCAGGGTCCTTCCCCCTGTATTCAGCTCCGGTTCTGTTCCCCCTGACTCTCCTGTCTTCTCCCCTCCTGGGGGCTCCCCCGCAGGCTGTCACTGCCCAGCCCATCCTTGGAGCTCCGCCTGCTCGCACCACGAGACTGAGCCTCATTAGCTCCGAACCAAATGCCAGAGGCCACTTCAGTGTGCTTTCTGAAACTGCATCACTGCAGAGTGGCGACATTAAAGTGTCACTTCTGGGCGCCTGGGTGGCTCAGTTGGTTAAGCCACTGCCTTCGGCTCAGGTCATGATCCTGGAGTCCCGGGATCGAGTCCCGCGTCGGGCTCCCTGCTCGGCGGGGAGTCTGCTTCTCCCTCTGACCCTCCCCCCTCTCATGTGCTCTCTCTCATTCTCTCTCTCTCTCAAATAAATAAATAAAATCTTTTAAAAAAAATAAATAAATCTTTAAATAAATAAATAAAAGTGTCACTTCTGTAACCCCTTCATCCCTCCCAGCACCTCAGAGCACAGGTGCAAGGCCGGGGCCCCCCCACAACCCCCCATTTCCTCAGTCTCCTACCCCATCCGTCTTGCCAAACAAGGCAACCCCGCCTCAGCAGGGAGGTGCTCCTGAGATGCGGCCACCAGGGCGCGGCAAGGACGCAGGGGTAGGAAGGGGGCCTCTCCCCTCCCCACAGCCTCTGTCCTGACACGCAGGGACACACACACATTCTGCTCCCACACTTTATTGGGACAAAGGAGGGGGCGGGCAGACCAACACCACAGACCCACCCACCAGGGGGGTCCGGACTTGAGCACCCGGCACAGCTTGAGTACATAATAAATACAGGCAACGTGGGTGGCGCGCGGGTCGGGGGAGTCCATACGCAGGAAGGACACTCGAGGCCCTTCCAGGCTCGGGACCCGAGGCGCACGCAGCACTGGCACAGTCCACTCACAGAGGAAGGAGGCAGAGGGGCGCGGATTCCGCTGTGCAGATGGGAAGGGAGACGTTTCCTTGCGCAGGTAGGGAAGAGGAGAGAGATGGAGGGAAACTCCTTTTCACATTTCAAAAAAGAGCAGATTTCACCTTACAGATGGCACGAGAGGGAAGAAGGAAAGTTGGTTTCCCATTCGCAGACATGGCCATGGGGAGGGGAAAGAGTCATTTTGTGGCGGGGCAGACGCTTCTGCGGCCATCGGCGTGCACAGGTCCGTGGCCCCGGGGCCGTTCCATTCCCAGGGCGCAGGAGGGAGACACGGACGGGACAGGGGCTCGGCCTAGAGGACCAGAGAGGTGTACCCCACGGGCACCAGCCCCTCCGCGCCATCCCGCCCACAGCGGAGCCAGTCCTCGTCCACGGTGGCGACCACTCGCAGCACCTCCCCGCGCCTGAAGCTGAGCTGGTCGGGTCCCACCGCGGTGTGGTCACAGAGCGCGCGGACGGCCCTGCGGGAGCCAGAGGGACAAGCTGGGATGAGCGAGGTGGGCACCCAGCTGTCCCCAGCGCACCTTCCCCACCGCGTGGGGCCAGTGCTGACAGGGCTCCAGCAGAGGCTCGGGGACTATCCATCGATGTGTGGGTTCCACCGGGGGCCCTGCCGAGCTCCAAAGCTGGCATCGGCCGCTTATCTGACCCCACCCGCGTTCTCTGAGCCTTCAAATCCGACCTACGCAAACTAAGCGACTTATCTGAACCCTCCCAGCCAGGCCTCCTTTGGGCCCCCTCGGGGGCAAACACACCACCTTCCCCCCAAGGGCTGCTGGCAGACCGTGCATCGCCCCCAAAATTCGTTTGCCCCCCACATCCCCACCACTCCGTCCACTCTCCTTTTCATGTCCACTGCTGCCGCCCTCCTCACTCTCTCTGGACCACACCACGGGGTCTGGTCCCCTCTCCCCGCCCCATCCCTCCTGGACTGCCTGCCCCAGGCCCCTTCTCCACCCTGAGATCAGAGATCCTTCTAAAACACAGGCCAGCATTTCATCCCCGGGTGGAAGACCCCCTTCGCGGGCTCCCAGGGCCTCCACCCTGAAGTCCGGTTCCTTAACCGACCCACTGAGGCCTCCAGCATCCCGTCACCACCACCGACATCCTCGCCCCAGACCCGAGCAGGGCACAGTTCCTCACCTGCCACACCCGGGCCTCGCTGCCCCACCCGCACCATCACCGGGCCTTCCCTGAGCCCCCAGACCTGGCCCCAAAGGACTCAGACCTCCCTGCCCAGAGTAGCCGCCACACACAACGGTAACTGCGCATTTGCTCGCTGGAACCTTCTCTGGGCCACAAGCTCCAGGAGGGCACGGGCTCTGGGCATTTGCCCTCCTGTTCCCTCCCGCAGCATCATACTGGGCACGTAGTACTTGAAAAACACCGTCAAAGGAAGGAAAAGTCAAGAAACCTAACTCAGTGGACTGAGAGCAGCCAACTGAAGCCAGACTCCAAAGCAGAAGCGGCCCCCGGTGTCAAACCTGAGCAGGCCGCTCCGGGGGACACCCGCAGACGCGGCCGAACCAGGCAAGCGCTGCCCGGCTCGGCCCGAGGCTTCCTGCTCCCTCAGGGCCCTGACGGAGCGGGGTCACCGCCTCGCACAGGGAACGACACAGGCCCAGACAGAGACGACAGCTTCACGCCAACAACAGGACAAGCACCATCTGACCTCACAGCCCCTGGCCTTTCACGCCACTACCCACCCCTGCCCCCCGTAAACTTGAAATACACCCCCACCTGTGGGTCTGCACCACGCTGGCGACGGAGGCCTCAAGCTCCTCAGGAGGCGAGAGAGGCTCGGGAGGGGCCCCCCGCTTCACCAGAGCCAACACACTCACTGTTGGGGGCAGCCAGCTGGACGGTCTCCTGGAGAGAACACGGGGTCACAGAGGTCACCCGACCTCCAGGGAAGGACCCAAGGACCCAGGACTTTGGAGGCAAGAAGAGGCTGAAGGGCCTGATTCCAAAGAGGTCAGGAGTGGGTCACTGCTGAGCGCCCTTCAAGGTGATTAGGGAGGTGGTGACACCCAACACCAAGAGGGACCTATGGAAGGTCACACCTGGGGACGGGAATCAGCACTGTTTTTCTTTTTGTCAAGGGCCGGATAGGAAATATTCCTGGCTTTGAGGGCCAAGAGGCCGAACGGAGCGAGTCATGCCGGCTCCCGTAGCAAAAGGACAACCAAGGCCGCGGACCTCAGGCCTAAGCGATCCCTGCAAGGCCAAGCAGGGGTGACTGAAGTGCTGAGGAGGGGACCGGCTACCCCAGTACCTGGACTTCCCGGTTCCTCCGTCAGTTTCCGTGAGGCCCCCGGGCACTCCAAACAGCCTCCCCAGCCACACGCCTCGGCCCGGCGCGGTGTCCTCTGCCGGCACGGGCCTCTCCCGTGGGCCTCCAGCCGCCGTCCCAGGACCCCACGACCTCCACCGGGGAAGAGGGAAGCCCTCGGTGCCCCCGGAGGCATAGACCCGGGAGGCCTGGGTCAGCTGCTCCCACCAGCTGCCTGGTGTGGGGGCGCCGGCAGGAGCCGAAGGGCCCGGAGGCGTCTCCCCGGAAGCCCCCCGAAGGCTCTGGGCCAGCCGCCCCCCCCAGTGCAGCACGGCGTGCACCGTCTGCCGCAGGGCGGGGGGCGAGCCCGGGGCTGAAGCAGCGGGGGGCGGGCCCAGGGGCAGGTGGTGGTGGTGCTCAAAGAGCAGGTCCAGGTGGAAGGTGAGCACTGACAGCGGCTGCAGCAGGAGCAACAGCTCCGCGGACAGGGCCGGGCAGCCACCCCGAGCCAAGGACAGGAATCCCGTGGGCAGGTACAGGAGCGACAGCAGGCCTGGGGACGAGCAGGCTGCCATGAGCCGCCCCCGCCCGCGCCCGCCCCCGCCCAGCCTCCGGCTATGCTGGGAGCTGGGGGGACGGAGCCCAGGGCCCCGCACAATGAGGGGTGACACTGAATGACAAGAAGTCGGGGAGCCCCCGGAGCAACATGGTGTGGGGGTGTGCTAGCCTGGAGCCTCACCCAATGAGGCCCCAAGGATGAGCTAGCGCTCCTGAGGGGGCAAGGGGAAAAGGACGCAGGGGGCCCTGGGGCAGGAGAGCCAGGGAGGCGGGGGAGGAGGAAGCAGAGGACAGGCAGGCCCTGGAGGTTCCGGGGAGGATCTGGGTCTTTCCTGCTGTGGGGCAACGGGACGCGCCGAATGTGTACGGCACAGAACAATACAAGTGGACACGGAGATCGAGGTCACTCTGGCTTCCCCGGGCCCAGCAGCACAGACAGCGCCCGCCCTCCCTCCCTCCCTCCCTCCCTCCCTCCTAGCCTGGCAGCCCACCGTGCCCTGCGGCGTCTGACCTGCATCCTCCTGGAGGCTGGAGAACCACAGCTCCAACTGCTTCGTGCTAGAAGAGAAAGGACGGCGCGGGCTCGGGAGGGCGCAGGATGGGGGACGCGCTTCCAGGAGGGACAAGGCCACCAGCACCGGGCTCCTACCGCCCGTGACACCCGTGTGGCCCCCAGGCCGTGGGAGGGGCGCCAGGGGAGCGGCCACTCACTTGAGGAGGCCCAGGATGAAGGCGTGGAAACGGCTGCGACTGCTGCTCAGCGGGGCCAGGCGGCTGACCTGGCCGTACAGGGTCCCCAGCGCGCGGCTGCTGGCGCCTGCGGACACCGCGCTTTGAGCCCGGCCCACGCCCGGCCCAGGCCCGCCCGGCCCCCGCGCCCGCGCCGCACCTGGCTTCACCGACGCCTCCACCACGCTCCAGGGGCTGGTCCTGCGCTGCCCAGTGATGAGATCCTTCCGGAAGGGCTTCAGCCCGTCGGCCACCAGGGCGTGCAAGGCCGGACAGAGGGTGGTCAGCACCAGGTGCCCCACATCTGGGCTCAGCCGGCTATCCCCCAACTGCGCCTGGAGGCGGCACAACGGACACGTCCCAGGCGCCTGCGGCCGCCTCCCCGCCCCCCGTTCGTGCGGCCCCAGGGCCTCCCCACCGGCACCCTCACCTTCTGAACCAAGTTCCGGGCAGCCCCAAAGTGCGAGATGATCTTATCCACCGAGGCGCTCACGGCTATCAGGAGCCCTGCGAGGGGCGGGCACGGAGCGCGCGTCTGTGCGGCGTCCGTGCCCGCGCACACCCCAGGGCCCCGGGGCACCCAGGCTCCTGCAGGCCGGCCCCGGAGCCGAGGGTCCAAACCAGCAGCAGGTGACCTGGTGGAAGCCGGGCTCAGGAGTCCGGGCGCCCTACCTTTCTTCTGCTCCTGCAGCTGGCCAGTCCCGCTCTGGGCTTCTGCCATCCACCGTCGCTGGGCCCCGGGGGCGCCGGCGAACGACCAGGAACTCCGGGCTGGGGTGAAGGAAGAACGCGGAGACGCTTACGAGGGTGACCCGAGGACGCCGGGCTGGCGCACAGGTCGCCCTAGGGCCGGAAGCGAGCAGGAACAGGGCCCGGGGCTGGGTGGGGCGCCCCGCACTCGCCGTCCCCTCCCCCTCCCGGGCCGCGCGGCTACCTCCGCCCCGTCTGCCCCGGGCGGGACGGCACGCGCCCCGCCCGCTGGGCCCGTGGAGGGAGGGCAGCCCGGGGAGCACGTGGGGGGCCGGGACCAATGGACAGACAGACCGACGGGAATGGGAGGAGACACGGAGGGAGAGGCGAGCCTGGGGTCGGGAGGCTGGGAGGCGCGGGCGTGGGCCCAGCCGGATCCGGCGCCCGCTTCTCCCCCACCCTCCCGAGCGAGGCGGGGGCCGGGCCCCCAGCGCCCCCAGCGCCCCCCACGCCCCGGCACCGCGCAGGCCCCGGACCGTGCAATTGCTGGCACCCCCTTAGCCCGCGCCCCCCCACGCCCGGGCCTCGAAGCCCAGGGCCCAGCCCCGCGGCGGGTGGCGGGGCCAGATGCCCCCCGCTGGCGGGCGGGGCCGCGCCGCCTCCCCCGAGGACGCTGGGGGCGGAGGTCCGGCGCGGGGGCGGGGCGACCCCGCGGGCGAGCCCGGGTCCGTCTTACGTAGCCTGGGCGGAGGCGGCGGGCTCCTGGTCCGGCGGGGGGCCTTCGGCGGGCGCGGCGGCGGTGGCAGCGGGGGGACGGGCACCTGGCGGGGCGGGGGGACCGCGGCGGGGAAGGTGCTGCTTCTGGGAAAGAGCGGGGACAGCAGCAGTGCCAGCTCGGGGCTGGCCAGGCAGGGCAGGGCCCCCCGAGCCGGGGGCGAGTGGGCGCCCACCGGGGACAGGCGGACGGGCAGCAGCTGCTTCTGCGGGGGCCTCGGCGCGCCCAGCTGCCGCAGCCCCGCGCGGGGCGGGCTGGCCGGACGCGCCGGGAGCGGGGTCCCCACCGCGCCCGCGCCCTCCAGCAGGGGGCGCGCGGCGGCCGCGGACCGCGGGGCGGGGGGCGCGGGCGGCGGGGGGAGGCCGGCTGCAGCGGGGGCGGGGCGGCGGGGGCGGGGCGGCAGCCAGGCGGGGCGGGCGGAGAAAGAGGGAGCAGAGAGTTAGTGCCGTAGCCCGGCGGCCCCCCCCCAGGGCCCCCTCCCGGAGCGCTCGCTGGCGGCAGGGGGGGCGGGCGGCACAGACGGAGGGGGCGGGGCGGGCAGGGGGCGGGGGTGGGGGGGCGAAGCCGCAGCTCGGCCCCTCCCTGCCCCTCCCCCCCCTCAGTTCCCCGCGGCCGCTTACCCGCACGGCCGTACTGTGCGCCCGACTCCTCGGGCTTCCGGGCGGCGGGGGCCTTCTGGCCGGCCGCGGGGCTGCCCGCCCTGCCCTCCTCGGGTGGCCGCTCGGCGATGGGCTGCAGCCCCGGCCGGTTCTTCCTCCTCCGCGGCGGCACGGGCGGGGGCGGGGGCCGGGGCGGCACCAAGGCCCAGCCGGCCGGAGGGTCCCGCGGCGGCACCGGCGGGGGCGGGGCCCGGCTCCGGGAGCGGAGCTCCTTGAAGGTGGTGACTTCCCGGGGCGGCGCCGGGGAGCCGCCCAGCGAGCCGCTGGGGGGCAGCTCGCTGTCGGGCGAGAAGACGATGAGCCAGTCGCTGCGGTCTTTCTTGACCTGCGGCACCAGGGGCAGCCCCGGGCCCCGCTTGCGCTTCTGGGCCAGCTCGTGGAAGGACGTGATTGTCCGGTGGGACGCCGGCTCCTCGCTGACGTCACTCCGCCACCCCGCATCAGTTTTCCCCGCATCTGTTTTCGAGCTGCAATCAGTTATTCCTGTGCTACTTTTCCAACTGGAGTCGAGTTTTCCAGGTTCCGTTTTCCAGCTAGAGTTAGTATTCCCACTGATTGTGCAGCCGGAGTTATTGTTCTCCCTGGTTTTCCAGCCCGCGTCAGTTGTCTCCCTGTCGATTTTCCAAATGGGGTTGATTTTCCAACTGGGCTCGGTTTTCCCAGCGTCGGCTTTCCCATCATCCGCCTCTGGGAGCTCGGAGGCAGGGAGGTCCTGCTCCCCACCGTTGTCCTCTTCCTCTAGCCCTGGGGAAACGGGGTCCTGGCAGGTGGTCAGGGCGTTGCAGTTGGAGTCCAGACCAGGGCCCGGTGGGGGGGATGCTCCGGAGCAGGAATCGGGCGAGCAACAGAAGCTGTCCGGAGAGCAGGCGCCAGGGCCTGCGGAAGCCAGTGGGGATCCCTGCTCCAGGGGGATGATGCTGGGCTGAGGGTGGACATCCTCGTCGCCAGGGAGGCCCCGCGAGTACACCGAGATGGGGGACTCGTCGGGACTAAGATCGGAGCAGGAGCTGAGAGAAGAGGAGCAGCCCGGGTCCGAGGGAGAGGCGGCCCCCTCTTCCTCCTGTGCTAGGTCCTGCCGGTTTTCTAAGCCTGGCCCGTGCTCCTGGCAGCATCGGCAGGGCAGAGCTGGGCTGTTGGAATTGGCGTCCACCAGGGCCCCGCTGCAGGGCCCCCGGCTCTCCTTGCCCCCGGTGTCCCCGGGGGGAGGGGATGTGCTCAAGGGCCCCTCCCGGAGCTCAGGGCGGCGGGACAGGTGCAGGCCCAGGGAGACATGCTGGAGGTGGATGTGGTTGAGGTTGCAGAGTAAAGCCCTCTGAGGGGACAGCATTGTGCAGGCGGCGACGGGGCGGCCTCGAGAATCAGGAGGATCGGGCCTCTCACACCCGCCTACCTGGCAACCGCAGCTACAGACCTGGAAGACAGGGAGCGTGATCCCCAGCCAGAGAGGACGTGGGCCTCCAGAAGGACACCGAGGTGACGGACAGCTGCAGCACGCATGAAAGGCGCCGGCCGCTTTGGACAATATTTGAATGAGACGCAAATGTCCATCGACTGATCCTTAATTTCCACTGCAGTGTTTGCAGGTGGAGCCGAAGGAAGCCCCCCGGGACTGGGGCGGGGAGGGTCAGAGAATGCGGCTGCGCTCTGGATCTCCGTGGAGGTGCGGGGGCTTGAAAAAGGATGGGGCCTAGAATGGAGCCCCGGATCCTTTCTGCTGCAGTCTGGCCCTGCACCGCCCCCCCTCCCCACTTCCCCTGCCTGCCCTTCGCTCCCAGAGGAAGGGGCCGAGGGAGGCCCCGCCCAGATGCTCCGAAACGGGGTGGTGGGGGGAGGCGCGTCTGGCTGGCTAATGCAGGAGAGGGGTGGGCGTGGGGGCAAAGACGAGCATCCGTCAGCGAGTCAGGTCCGCGGAGCAGGTGGGCCAGCCGACCCCTGCCCGGACCCCGCGCTTGCCCGTTCTCTCCGCGCTTGTCTCCGTCACCCAGGCGCCACCCCACTTCTCCTCTATGCAATTGTACTGTTCCCCTCTCCCGCCCCCCCCTGGCGGGCCCCGAAAAACCTATCCACACCCATGGCCGAGCCCCCCTCACCAGGGTCCTCCTGCAAGCGCCGCAGCTGGGTTCGTCCACGACTCCCAAGGTCCCCGCCGGACCGCACCGACTGGCAGGGGGGGCGCTAGGACAACCCGCCGGCGCTGCGCAGCCGCGCCCCTTCACGCAGGGGCGGGGCCCAGGCCCAGCCCCCACCGCTTGACGTCGTGCGCGTGTCACCACCTAGGCCGGCGCGCAGCTTTCGGTGCCGAGCGGTCCTGAAGGCAAGCCCCAGGCCCCGGCGTCCGCGCGGCCACCCCCAACCCTGCCCGTTGCGGACGGCGCTGCGCCCCTGGCTGGCACAAGCAGGCACAGAACCACACGAAGCTTCGACAGTTTATTGAGAGGTCCCCCTCCCCGCCCGCGCAGTCTCTAGGTCACTTTTTCCTCTTGTAGATCTTGTGTGCCAGCGCCAGGAAGACGGCGGGGGGCAGGGGCGAGGCGTACTGCTCGATGAGACCCATAAGGTGGCCATAGCTGTCTTCCTCATACTGCGTGAACACGGCGGGCAGGTTCAGCTCCTCGTACAGCGCCTTCACCCGGGCCACCTTCTCCGCCTCCTTCTGCCCGTAATTCTCCTGGAAGGGGTGGGGGGCGGGGAAATCGGCTTAGCCCTCCCCAGCACGCCTCGCGTCCATACATTCCAGCCTCCAGTGTCAAGGGTCCTGGAGTGCCCGCGATCTTGAACTCCCCTCTCCCCGCCGCACACGCTCTGATACTGGCGCAGGCCTCAGTTTCCTCTGCCTGCCTCCACCACCGCCCGGGGCTGGCTCTCCGTGGGAAGCCGTAGTGCGCATCGGAGCATGTCGGGCAGCTTTCCTGGCCTCCACCCACTAGAGATCCCGGTGGCACGGGACAATGTCTGCCGATGCTGCCAAATGTCCCCTGGGGTGCAGAGTCACCCCCACCCCGCCTAAGGCCCTTGCTCTGGCCCTTTCCTGGGAGCTCCGCGATCCGCGGCCTCCCGGGCACCTGGAGGAGCTGACGCTGTTCCGGAGAGGCGCGCCGCAGACACTGAACCACCAGCCAGCTGCACTTGTTGTCCTGGATGTCTGTGCCGATCTTGCCTGTCACACCGGGGTCCCCAAAGAGGTCGAGGTAATCGTCCTGGGAAGGGGGCAGAGGAGGGCAAATGAAGAGACCCCACAGCAGGGCCCTAGGGCAGTTGTGGCCGCTCCCTGCCCGTGCCTTCCTACCTGAATCTGGAAGAACTCCCCCATCTCCAGCAGGATCTTCTTGGCATTGGCATGCTCTCTCTCCCCATCGATGCCCGCCTACAGTGAAAAGGGGATCTGTAAGCCAAACACCAGGGGCGCCTTCACTTTCCTGGCCGCATCTCCCAAGGCGCCCTGGCAGAGCCCCCAAATCCTCTCCCCTCTCCGTTCAGACATCCCTGGCTTTCGGGCTTCCGGACGTCTCGGTGGTCCGACCTCCAGCCCACCTCCTCCACCGAGGCCCTCGGGTGTGAGCCAGCAGGGACGAAGTCAGCTCTGGAGGCCAGCCCGCGCCCGGCCCGACTCACTCTTCCGGTGCCTTCTGCCTCCTCCAGCTTCTTCCCGGATCAAAGGGGGATTTGGAGAAGCGCGGTCAGGGTGGGCGGGGAATCCCACCGCCTGCCTTTGGACCCGGTCTTCTTCCTCTCAGCGTGAACTTGCTCCCCACCCCCATCCAGACCCGGGTGGAGGACGGGCTGACCACTTGCATATCCCTTGCCTCCATTCATCTTCCTAAAAATCCTGAGGAGGGAACTTCACCATCGTACGGCTGAGAAGACACCCTCAGACCTTAAGTAACTTGCCCAGGGTCACAGGCCACATAGTGGGGGCAGCAGACTGTCCAAAGTTGTCCGCTTTGTACCCTCTGTCCAAAAGCCCCATCGGTGGGCGGCAAGGGGCAGGAGACTCACTCACCATGTACATGGCAGCCGCCACAGGAAGATAGAATGAGTAGAAAGCGGTCTTGTACTTGACAATAGATTTGTACCTGAGCAGGGGGAGAAGGTAAGGTCCTCAGAAGGGCAGTGCCCAGCAGAGCCCGCCCTCAGTGGCCAGACAGTTCCCTGGTCCCTCACCTCTTTTCAGTGAACCTGCCAAGATCCACATTGCCCTGTGGGGCTGTGATGAGGTCCAGGGTCTGTCCGATCTCGGTCTGATAGGAACTCTGAGGAGGAAGATGGCCCATCAGCTGGGCTTTCTCTGGGGCCAGGAAACCCTGGAATCCAGGGCCCCACAGCCCACAGCACGGGCAGAGAGAAAGGCAGTGAGAGGTGAGGGGCCCGCACGCACACAGACACAGTGCTTTCTCAGCCCTCCTTCCCGTCTCGAGGACACGGGGAAGCCCTCTCTGCCGCCGCCCTGCCCAGCACCTTGGCCCACTCTGCCCCTTCCAGGCAAACCTCGCTACCCCCCGGGGCCGACGGCCCTCGGCACACCTGCAGGAAAAGCTCAATCAGGCTCAGGTAATAGGGCTGCTCCCGACAGCAGAGCTTCAGCAGGCGGTAGACGCAGGCTTCCAGAAGCAAAGCGTCATTGACGGCATCCAAACCTACGCCTGGCTGGCAGGGGTGAGGAGAAAAACAAGCCCTCGGTATGCTCTGTGCACCAGCTCCCTGAGGCCTGTCCCATGCCCACCGCTACCTTCCCGCCCACTGTACCTTCTGATACCAGCAGATCTGCCCCCGTCGGGTGAGGGACGAGTCCATGATGTCGTCGGACACCAGGAAGAAAGCTTGCAGCTAGGAGAAGGCACAGTGGAATCAGACCCTCGGGACTCCTTGCTAGCGCCCCTTCAACCAGCAAGAGCTGCTACTGTTGCTCATCACCGAGCTAGGAAGGAAGCCAGGCCAGCGAGAGCGAGGGCTTCTGTTCTGTGCTGTGGGACTTTGGGGAATTATGTGACCTCGCCGGCTCAGGCTTCCCAACGATAACATGAAAGACTCCGGCAGATCTCAGATGTCTATCTCCTCACAAGCAGCCCTAGACAGTCCTGGTGTCAGGGAGGCGATGAAGCATTGCGTCCGCTACTCTTCTTCTGCCAAGAACCTCGGTGAATACTTAAGACTTCTTCCTGCAGTGTGACTTTCCGGGACTTCTGCAATCAAAGGAGGCTGTCCCTGTGTCGCCCTGAGGCGCTCCGCTTACACACGCCAGTGCCCAGGACAGAGCCCCACCTCGGAGCTCATCTGGAGATGCAAGGCAATAGGACAGAAATGCAGTCCAACTCGGTCACTCTCCCCCACGGGTCTTAAACACGTAACCACACCAGCGTCAGCCATGGGCCTCTCTTCCAGGTGCTGGCCTACCTCAGAGTCCCAGAATGTGCTGGTTTTCCCAGCAGGCTGCCAGGACGTTTGCCCCCCTGGCATTCCCAGAGCCAAGCACAGCACTAGCCCCAGAGCGAGTGTGTCCTAAATGCCTGTTTAATGAATGCAAGACACTGTCACATACCCCATGAGACTTCCTGCATTCAGGCTACACCTTCCGAGCCTTTAAAGACAGCTTTTCAGGGTGTAGTTTTAAACCTTCACTCCATCCTGATCTCTGTGTGTAGGCTAGAGGGTGTGCCTTGCTTGGAGCACCCGACACTGCCCATCGGCTCTGGCGTGCAGAGTGTGGAAGGGGCTGCGGTGGTCACTGCTCTTGTTCCAAGGGAATCCTTGGGGAAGGAGGTACCCATCTGCATCTTTACCTCTGACCACACAATGGGGCAGGGTCTGGGCTTTCCACACCGGAGGCATGTGTTTTATTATTAGAGTGTTCACTTGGTTCCACTAAGCCACTGGTCCACTGTCTCTCCCACCTGGTTTCAACCAGCACCACTCAACCAAGACAGTCTCCGAAGAGCTTCGTTCCTGGTATCCCTCAACCTCCTCTGCCCCACAGCAGTGGTTCTTAACCCAAACGCACTTTCTATTTATTAGGGGAACTTAAAAAAAAAAAAAAAAAAAATACCAGTGTCAGAGTCTCACCCCAGATCCATTAAATGAGAAATCTATCCACAGTATTAGTCAATTATGGTAGAGGGACTATTCTAAAGATTAAAGATTGAAGAAGAACCACAAATACGGTACATTACTCTTGATTGGATCCTAGATGTTTAAAAACAAAACAAGGGCGCCTGGGTGGCTCAGATGGTTAAGCGTCTGCCTTCGGCTCAGGTCATGATTCCAGGGTCCTGGGATCGAGCCCCACATCGGGCTCCTGCTCGGCGGGGAGCCTGCTTCTCCCTCTCCCTCTGCCTGCCACTCCCCCACTGCTTGTGCTCGCTCTCTCTGTGTCAAATAAATAAGATCTTTAAAAAACAAAACAAAACAAAGCCAACTTAGAACAGACATTTTGGGGAGAATTAGGAATATTTAAATCGGGAATATACACTAGGTAATATTACTGTTGCTATGGTCTGAATGTGTCCCCCCAAATGCTGAAATCCTAACCATTAAAGACGATGGTGTGAGGAGGTGGGGCCTCCAGGGCCCTCCTGATGGAGGCTGTGGAGCTGCCTGGCCCCTTGCACCACCAGGGGCTGTGTGGGAAGGTGCTGCTGAGCCAGAAGAGCCCCGCCCCCTCACCCCCAGCCATGCTGGGACCTCAGTCTTCGACTTCCAGCTTCCAGAAGTCCACGAAATAAATTTCTGTTCTTTATAAGCTACCCGGTGTGTGCTATTTTGTTGCAGCAGCCCACGTGAACTCAGACAGCCATGACAATGGCATTGTGCTTGTGCCGGCAAATGCCCTTGTTCTTCGGAGGTAAACGCTGAAACAGACAGTGGGAGCTGAAGGACGGGAGGCAGAAGGAAGACGAAAGCAGACACCGTAACCAAAGTCACCGAGTGACAACAACGGTGCACAGCTCAAAAGGCATCTTGGGGAAATGACAGCATTGCAGCCACGTTTAAACATCCCTGAGCACTCCCTGGTGAACCCACGGGGCAGCTGGAAGTCAGGACACGT